ATGGATCCAGCAGACCCCTTTTCGCAAACCCCACAGGAACACTTGCCGGGTTGGCCAAAAGCCTTTTTTCAGAGCAACTCCCGGATTCTCCTCCTGTGCAGCCTGGCTGAGGGTTGCAGGGAGGCGTGCGTGCGCGCACACACATACTGTACGTCCATTGCTGTTTGGCAGGCCAGCCAGGCCACTTGCCCATGGGGAGGGGGACAGAGGGCTACAGGCACACACAGTCACTCTCCCACCCCACACCCCAACAGTCACAACGAACACCAGCCACGGTAAGGACACGGCGCTGACGACAACAGCCACTCCTATGTACAGGGGGGGGTGCTGCCTGCCTCTCCTGATGGGAGGCACAGTCCAGAGCAAGGCAGACAATGTTCCTGCCCTGCCCGTCCCCATAGCTGCTGGGAGCAGGATGGGGAGGGGGCACCCCCTGGGGTGGGGGGTCCCTGGGACAGCTCTTCTGGCTGCCAGATCAACACGTCCTGGCATGGCTTTCAACGGCAGCAACAGGTTCTCTTCTAGCAGGGGGCAGCACCCTGGCCCGGGTGGGGCCAGCACAGACAAGCCCCTGCACCGGTCTCTTGCTGTGCGATGCCAAGTGTGGCGGCCAGGTTTGCCGAGAGGGTCCGACAGGCGGGCGGAGGGCGTTGCTCTCTCCAGCTGCAGCCTGCTTCCGGACCGAGGCCGTCGGAGGGGCTTGAGAAGGCTCCGGTGAGGAGCAGGGCAGCCACAGCCTTTGCGTGGCCAGTCCTACGGCAGACGTAGCTCCTCGGAGAGGCACCTTCTGCAAGACAGGCGCTCCCCACGGGGAGGGCCGTTGTTCCCCGCGTCATCTAGACGAGCAGGCTCTGCGCCAGTGGGGCCAAGCCAGCAGGGCCAGTCCTTCCAACCACTGGAAAAGGCAGAGGGTCTCCTGTCTGTGCCCGGTTGGTCCAGCCCATCTGCTCTACGGGGAGGGGGGGCTTGACCCTCCTCCCTACAGGCTCAAGAGGGATCTCAGCCGGCCTCCCATTCCTGGGGGCCAGGTGATGGATTTCAAAGTGCTTCTGCGCAACACAGGTGAAAAATAAATTAAGCTTTCAATATAGACATATATATATAGATATATTAATATATTAAATCTTTAAATAAATATCTTTCTTTCCAAACTATTTACATTCTCAGCAAACTTTGCAACTGAGAAAGAGAAAAAAGCTGGGCGAAGGGGGGCAAAATGGCCATTGTCTCCAGGTGGGGGTGGGGGGGTGGAAAAGCCTCTTGGGAAAGACCTGGTGGGTAGGTGGCTGGGGAGGAAAAGGCCCCCCCTCCCCAACCCCCCCCCCCCCGCAAGAGGCCAATAGCTGGGATAGAGGGTCCCCTGTGGAAAGGGACTGCCAGCACACAAGTGGGTCCTGGAAGGCATTTTGACTTTTACAAGAAGGATTTTTCTTCTTTTTTAAAAGCGGAACATTATGGGATGATGAAGATGCCCACCTGCCCCCCCCCAGCAACCCTTTTGCCTGATGAAGCAGGGCGGCAGCCGAAGCTGAAGGGTTGCACATTTGCAGGGGATCAAAGGTAGCTTCCAGCAGGGCCCGGGGGCCAGTTCTGCCCTACGGACCTGCTGTGTACCAGGCCTCTCTCAGCTATTTCTGTATCTTTGCTTGCTTGCATTTTGCAAAATCAGAAGTGATCGGAAGTCGGTGCCCAATTTTTCTGATGGAGCGCTACAAAGGCTGACATTTAAAGGCTTCATCTTGCACAGCTGCAGACAAGGGCTGGTTGGGAGGCGGCTGTTAGCGCCATTCTTCAATCTCAGAACAACAACAACAAAAAAAAGGATTTCAATTGCTTATGAAAAATACTTTTTAGAAAAGAGTGCAAGATGGTCTTTTCATGCAATCCAAGTGCTGTGCATGACCCACAGTTGTCCCCCTCCAAGGGAGCAACAGGAAGGGGCTGGTCTGCCCACCGTTCCAGGCCCCCTGACCGAAGGGTATCCACCACCCTCTGTCCCTCCTCAAAACACATTCCTGTTCTTTCAACTGACAGAGCAGGCAACGGGTGGCCCTCCATTTCTTCCACGATGAACCCGCCCTGGAGGCCACGAGGACTCGTAGGGCTGTGGACTGTCCGGAACAGTTGGAGGGCCACAGTGGCCCACCCTGCGGTGCCAAGCGCTGCCAATAAGCAGCTGCAGAAGACACCGCCCGCCCGTCTGCCCACCCTGATGGAACCCAGCCCACTCCCTTCGCCTCCACACAGACGGGGAACCAGGGAGGCTTGCTTGGAAGGAAGCTGAACTGAAGCACCTGGAGAAAAGCCGCAGGAACTGCCACACATGACAGGGCAGGGTGGGGAGAACCCGGGAGGGCGAGGGAGACGCCGCCAAACATGAAAACGTAAACTCTGGAGAGAGGAGGTGTGGGAAGCGGTGCTTGCACAAAGACCCCAGGGTGGTCTGGTCCAGGCTGGGCAAAGCTTTCTAGCCTCCGGTGCCAGAAGAAACACCTCCTGTCCACCCCCACCCCCCCCCCCCGGGCACTGCCCGTGGTAAGGAAGGGCACCCGGGGGGAGGAAGGGGTCCTTCTCCCCAGGCTGCCACTTCCCCATTGGTTTGAGGGGCGCCTCTCTAGAGCGGGCCGGCGGCATCCTTAATTCCCTGGAGAATCCTCTTCAGATGGCCCACTTTTGAGATCCCCAGGTCCTGCAAGGGGAAGAGAAGAATGCTCAGGCTGGGGGGGGGAGTGACGGGAGACACACACACACCCCCAGGACAATCTTTTCTGCCTTAGTCCCCTTCCCCACCCGGCGCCCGGCTTCCGAGGCCATGCAAGCAGGAGCAGAGCCAGGCGGATCCATATGCCATGCAAGCCCCCTCTCCATGTCCCCCCCAGCCCCTGGCACAAGCAGCTGTCCTCTCCCTCCCGCTGGGATTTGCTGGGGGTGGGTCAGGCTGGGCAGGGGCCGAGGGGGCAGCCTGGCCAGGGACACACACACACACACACACACACACACACGGGCCGGGCCAGGAGTACCTTCAGGTCTCTTCTCTCCAGCAGGATCAGCTCAGAGCCCTGGATGTCGTGGCACACAAAAAGCTCTTTGTACTCCCCCAAATCAAGCGCCTCCAGCCAGGCGGCCACTTCCTCAGGGCCCCAATTCTCCACTGGCAAAAAGGAAAGTTAAAAGAGGGTCGCTTCTAGTCTCTCTGTCCTCCCTCTCTCACACACATGCATGCACACTGAATTTTCTTCAAGAGAGTTTTAGACATGCACCACCAGCGACAAAGTCAAGAGCTTTTATTATAGGGCCCTGAACCCCAGCAGACAAAGGCCGGCCCTGGGGGATTTGGGCAGCCCTCCTCTTTACGCACCTGGGGCGACCCCGCTGGACCGCTGCTTCTGCAGCTTCTCCTTCTTGGCCTTGGCCAGGCTGATCCTCAGCTTCAGGCTCCCCTTGTTGTTGGCGCTGCCGGTCGAGGTCTCCTGGCTCAGCCCCTGCAGGGCGGGAGGCCGGGGATGGGGAGCAAGGGCAGAAGCCGCCTGAGCCCTCCTCGCAGCAGCCGGGCCCTGCCCAGCCTCTCCCAAAGAGGGGCAAAGGCGGCTGGGGGTGGGAGTCAGGGAAGGACGCGAGCATCCAAGGCAAGGGACCCCACCCAGCCCGTGGACGGCACCCCTGGGCCTCTCCAAAATTCCTCCCTTCTCCCCTTACGCACACAGGCAACCGTCTGTTATATTTTCCCCAAAACCCAGGCTGTGGGAAGGAAGGGCTGCTGCCCTCCTGCGCCTGGCATCGCCCGCGGCTATGCCCCTCCCTTGGTTAAACCATCCCACCTTGCACGGGGCACCCACCTCCTCGGAAGAATTGACGACCGGTGCCAGCCAGTGGATGCTGGCGAGCTTTTGCAGTTCCTGGCGGACGGCACTCAGGGCATTCCGGAGGCCTTCCTCTTGCTGGGGGGAGTCCAGCTGCTGCCAAAGGAAAGGAGCCCCCCCCCCCGGCAAAGGATTTCAAGCTCTTCCTGTGCTCCGGGGTTCCTGGGAGAGTGGCCTGGGACCTGCCCCAGAGCGGCTGCAGGGAGGCCCCGAGGCCAGGCCGAAGCGTGGGGCGCCTGACCCAGCCCCCTCCTCCCACCCTAAGGGACCCCAGTTGCAGCCCCCGGGTTGAGCCACACTCACCAGTTTGCCTTCCAGAAATGCTCGGGTCTCGTTGTAGAGAGCCCTGATGCTGACGGACACCTCCACTGCGGTGGTCCGGCTCAAAAACTGAAGGGATCCAGTCGGAGAGGAAGGGGAAGAGAGGGAGACCCAGACCCCGTCAGCAAGGAAAGCACGATGCCCCCCCCCCCGGCAAGCAACAACCAGGATCAGCAAGTGCCTAGAGAGGGAGCAGAGGCTCCCTGGGTATGAGAGGAGGTGCAACCCAGCCATCGTCGGGAAAGGCAGTTATAAGGACAAGACCGACCGGGGCCGAAGGACACCTTCTCGGAGACTCCTGGGCTGCTCAGCGAGGAGGCCCCTAAGAGTGGGTCTGGCTCTAGGCAGAGCCCCTCCAAAGAGACACATAGACACCCCCCACACACACACACTCCCATTTCTCCCTTCTATGCAGTCACACAAACAGGCTCTACTGCAGGAGGGACCCCCCATGACTGAAGAGGAGCACTGCTAGATCAGGCCCGTCCGGGTGCCTCTCTAGCTCAGGACTCTGCTGCCCCAGGGGCCCACGAGATGCCCACGAGAGACCTGCCACTGGTCCGCTCCTCTGAGGCCACCTGCCTTCGGGCCTGGACGGAAGGCACAGCCGTCCTGGGTAGAGCCCACGGAGAGCTCTGACTTCCCTGAAGGCATTTTATCTGACCTCCTTTCAAATTGGTGCTGTTGCCAGCCATTCCTACATCTAGTGGCAGTGAGTTCCACAGTTCAGCCCTGCACTGCCTGAAGAAGTCCCTCTTCCTGTCCATCTACAAAGCCCTGCCCCCAGCTCCCACGCCACGGGTCACCTCCGGGCTGCCCGCGTTGCTCTTGCTGGCCAGGGCCTCGCTCAGCGCCAGGGAGCTGCCGTTCACGGCATGGGCCAGCTCCTGCTCAATGGCTCGGTGTGTCTTGGCAGCCTCACGGATCCTGCAAAGGAAATCGGGCATCTTTCAAGCCACTGCCACCAGTCACCCTTGCCACAGCCATGGTTGCCCCCTGGCCAAACGACCCACCAGGAACAGAGCTGGTTCCTCCTGGTTTGGGTGGGAGAGGTGGGTGCAGCTCCTGGGGGGCCCACGGGGTGCATAAAGTGGCCCCCACACCCTCCAGAGCTGCCCACCCCCATCCCAGTGAAGCATCGAGACCCCTTGCCCTCTGGAGGGCTGCTCTAGAGTGAGATGCTGCCGCCCCCGCCCTGGTGAATCTCCTCCTCCTCCTCCTCCTCTGCCCCCCCTCCCCCCCACCCTCCAGGCATGGCCAGGCAGGGGGTTGTGAATTGGGGCGGTCGGCTGACCAGGAGTGCTCCCGAAG